AAATCTTTATGTTCCAGTGTCAGAGGTTTCCCTTTGTGTTCAAACATGAGGCAGTGCACAGGTTAATGCATGACCTTTTGCCTGTAGTCTGTGTTCTGACACTTCCATTGAAGAAATTACATATCCCACATTCCCTTAGTCTCTGTCTAGCACTGGTATAGGGAGAGTAAATAGATCTGACAAAGCCACAAATAGGCAGAGCATTCACAGAGAAATTTGTTTTCATCACATTAGCGACCCACATTTGTGATACAACACAGAGGAAATAATGGGACATAGACTGGACTCTTCCTGATCTTGAACAAATTGTTGCTGGTCCCTTTAGTGGATAGGTAGGTGAATGAATACTTGGACATAAGGGAATCTATGACACTACAAACTGCAGCAGCCAAAACATATGAGCCCATCATTACAAGGTAAGGCAAACAAGTGACAAAGGGGATATAACTACACTAATACCTGAATGACACAACAAAAAGATTTGAAAGTGTACAATGCCTTTAAGGCACACTTGACTCATTCAATCAGTGCCTCTTGGGCTTTTCATAGTTACATAGTTAGTCTGGCTGAAAAAGACAAAATTCCATCCAGTTCAACCATAAAAAAAACAACAAAAGTTATGATTCTATACCCACAGTTGATCCAGAGGAATGCACAAAAAAACCCAGCAAAGTATGATTCAATTTGCTCTTGCATGGGAAAAAATTCCTTCCTGATCCCCCAAGAGGCAATCGGATATTCCCTGGATCAACTTTACCTATAAATGTTAGTATCCAGATATATTCTGTGTATCTAAGAGAGAATCCAGGCCTTTTTTGAAGCAATCCACTGAGCTGACCAACTCTTGAGGGAGTCTATTCCACATTTTCACAGCTCTCACTGTGAAGAAACCTTTCCGTGTTTGGAGATTAAATCTCTTTTCCTCCAGACGTAAAGAGTGCCCTCTTGTCCTCTGTGATGACCTCAAGGTGAATAGCTCTACGCCGAGTTCACTATATGAACCACTGATGTATTTATACATGTTGATCATATCCCCCCTTAATCTCCTCTTCTCGAGAGAATAAATTCAGTTCTTCTAATCTTTCCTCATAGCTGAGCTCCTCCATGGCTCGTATCAGTTTGATTGCCCTTCTCTGCGCTTTCTCCAGTTCCCCAGTGTTCTTTTTGTGAATTGGTGCCCACAACTGAACTGCATATTACTAACTATTATAACTGCATGAGGTATTACTAATAATTTGTAAAGGGGTAAAATGATATCTCTCTCTCTGCAGTCTATACCTCTTGTAATATAAGAGAGGATTTTGCTCGCTTTAGAAACCGCAGCTTGGCATTGCATGCCATTATTAAGCTTGTGATCTACCAGAACTCCGAGATCCTTCTCCACCATTGATTCCCCAAGTTGTACTCCCCCTAGTATGTATGATGCATGCGTATTCTTAACCCCCAAGTGCATAACCTTATATTTATCAACATTAAACCTCATTTGCCACATAGTTGCCCAATTAAACAGTGCATTGAGGTCGGCTTGTAAGTTGGAGACATCCTGTAAGGACGTTATTCCAATGCACAGCTTGGTGTCATCTGCAAAGACTGAAATGGGATTTTTAATCCCAGACCCTATATTGTTTATAAATATATTAAAAAGTAAGGATCCCAACACTGAACCTTGGGGTACACCACTGACCATTCAGAGTATAAATCATTTACCACTACTCTCAGAAATACGATCTATTAGCCAGTTTTCTATCCATTTACATATGGATTTTTCCAAGCCCATAGACTTTACCTTACACATTATCCGTGTGTGGGGAACTGTGTCAAACGCTTTTGCAAAATTAAGTATACCACGTCCACTGCCACCCCTCTGTCCAAGGTTTTGCTCACCTCCTCATAAAAAGAAATCAGATTTGTTTGACAACTTCTGTCTTTTATGAATCCATGCTGTCTGTTGCTTAAAATATTTTTTTCCAGCAAGAACTCATCTATGTGGTCTTTTATTAAACTCTCCAGTATCTTCCCAACTATAGAAGTTAAACTAACAGTTCTATAATTACTTGGTAAAGATTTTGACCCCTTTTTAAATATTGGCACCACATTGGCCTTACGCCAGTCCAGTGGTACTATGCCAGTCATTAAGGAGTCCCTAAAAATGAGAAACAATGGCTTTTAAATGAAAGAGCTCAATTCTTTAAGGACCTGTGGGTGTATGCCATCTGGTCCAGGTTCTTTATTCACCTTTTATACTGTCTAAATATTTTTGGATCATATCAGTTGTGAGCCAATGTGGATCATCTGGAGCTGTGTCAATACCATGCCCATTATGGACAAGAGCTCCCCCATGCTCCTGTGTATACAGAGAGCTGAAGAAGGTATTAATAAATTTTCCTTCTCTTTGTCCCCAGTCACCCACTCTAGATTATTTTGTAAAGGGCCTACATGCTCAGGCCGAACCTTTTTACTGTTAATATATTTGAAGAATTGGGGTTGGTCCTGCTATCTCTTGCAATCTGTCGTTCGTTTTCAATTTTTGCGGCCTTTATTTCCTTTTTGCATATTCTGTTATATTCTTTGTACTGTTTGAATGATGATAGCGTTCCTTCATTTTTATATTTAATAAAAGCTCTTTTCTTATTAAGTGTTCTTGCATGGCAAGACCACTTACTGTTATCTCGGATATATATTCTTATTATTATAGCCAAATTTATCACCCTAACTCCTCCCACAGTTTTTACACTACATAGACAGTAATATACCGAAACGTGCGGATTGTTCCCGATTGGTGTGCTATTACTTTGTGGAACGTTTCGCCAAATGGTTCACAAAATATCTGCGTTTTTGTGGTGAAATTGGTCCCATAGGAATGAATGGCGGAATGTTCAAAACTAGAGTGGGAGCTGACAAAAGCTAGAGTGTGAGATGAAAAATCAGGACATGATTTCTAAACTGCCATCACTCCCTCATTTTCAAGCCCACCTACACAAATCTTATATCAAAACGTTCAGCTATCCCTGCTGCCACTAAAAATGTTCACAGCTAAGCCATAGACCTGATAGTTTTCACAATATGACCATTTGTTTGCAACTCACACCACCCATCTCAAGCCACTCCGCCCACTCCAGTTGTAGACTACTGGTGGAGGCAAGAACACTTCACACAATTTCCCCAGAAATTGTAGCTTTTCTAGTTATCTATAGCTTTTTTAACTTTAGCCGTAAGCCACATAGGTTTGATTTTTAGCCTTTTAAAATTGTGCCCATGGGAATATATTTTGCAGTGTGTTCACATACAGTCTTTTTGAAGAACTCCCATTTCTGTGTTGTGTTCATTGATGCCAATATTCCCTCCCAGTTTAAGTCTTGGAAAGCAGCTCTCAGCCTTGGAAAATTAGCTCGCTGTTTACAGCTAACAAATGAAATCCTGTTATTTATTTTTTTTAAGTATTTATTATAAATTTACAAAAACTAATAAAACTTACAAAATAGGATACTCCTATTACCTGACCTTATATCAAAATATTAACTTTCCTCTTGGTATCCTTATTCCCCTATCCCTCCCCCCCTTCCCCTTACCCCATATCTCTTTCTCCCTCCCCCCATCCCTTCCTACACCGCCGCCGAAGAACTCCCATTTCTGTGTTGTGTTCATCGATGCCAATTTTCAGCACAGGCATCTTTTTTTCTCAAATTTGCAAGGCTTCCATGTAGCCTTCTGTTCGCACATTTGTGAAGTTTTAAAGCGGTAGTAAACCACAGGTAAAAAAGAAAAAAAAACCCTTAAAACGAAGCCCTCCAGCACACGCTGTCACCGCTGCAGAGGCTTCCATCTTCACCTGGTCTTCCTTCTGGCTTACCTGTAGGTAAAAGTTAAAAAAAGAGTTTACTGTCACTTTAACAGGTGGATGTTCAGGTTTCTGCCGAAGCAAGCTTCAACCTTAAAGAGCTTCAAATCACTTTTTGAGTTGGTAACATAACTCCCTTGGTTTGGGCCTAAATAAAGAAAATCAGTGCTTTCAAATGGATACTTTATTCTTTCTTCTTTATTCTTTGTGGACTTTTGCACAATAATTGATGGACAGTTCATATTATTTAAATGTATTGCAATTTGAAACATTTATCTATTGCACATTAGTTTTTCTAGATTTATTTATTACTTAGGATATTCTGTATATTAGACATACAGTATACAGTCTGATCTGCTTTATTTAGGAGTATATTCTTATTTAACACTCGTATTGGCAAGCAGCTTAAGGATTTTTTTCCACCAAGACCTCGTCCACACTTCTGCATTTTTCAGCTCAACGCTCATAAATGCTCAACAAGTACAATTCCATTATTTCCAGTGGCCCCTGTTCACACCTGAGCGTTCTCTTGCCTATAGCAAAATGTCTGTCACTGAAAAGAGTATTTGCGTTACTTTTGACTTGAATGGAAAAAGCCTGAACGAGTGTTTTTTTTCAATCGTTTTTCAGGCATTTTCAGTTCAAACAGCAGCTATTTCATTAGGCAAAAATGCATACATGAAAAACGCCTATAATATTTGCGAATACGCTCAAAAAATGTAGGAAAAAAACACCTAAATCCTGAAAAACGCACAGTTTAGTGTGAATGTAGCCTTAAGCACGAATATGTTATATTCTCACTTGTTTTGAGCCTGTTGGTATTGTTTGCTGTGTTGGTCATCGCTCAGTTCTTGACCACCTCCCACCCGCCATATAGTCCAATGACGGGCGCAAGGTGGTTCTCTCGTTCTGATAGGACGTCATATGATGTCCTTCCATTCTCACCACGCATGCGCAGCTCAGGGAGTGCGCAGCGCGGCGATATGGCCGTGCGCTGTGTCCCTCGGACACAGCGGATCACCGATCCACGGATAGAGCCAATCACAGCTGATCACATGTAAACAGGGAAATGCTGGTTATCGGCATTTCTCTCCTCTCAAGCTGTCACGCTGACAGCTCGAGAGGAGAGGAGAGACGGTAATTGGCATTCCGCGGAGGGGACATATACACTGATCATCAGGGCACTGATGATCAGTGTGCCCTGATGATCAGTGTGGCCCCAGAAGTGCCACCTGTCAGTGTCCATCAGTGCCAACTGTCAGTGCTGAACAGTGCCACATATCAGTGCCTACCAGTGCACATCAGTGCCCATCTGAGCTGCCTTTCAGTGCCACCTATCAGTTCCAGTCAGTGCCACCTATCAGTTCCAGTCAGTGCCACCTATCAGTGCCATATATCAGTGCTGCCTTTCAGTGCCCATCAGTGATGCCTGTCAATGCCCATCAGTGCCATCTACCAGTACCACCTATCAGTGTCCGTCAGTGCATCTTATCAGTGCCCATCAGTACAGTCTCATTAGCGCACATCAGTGAAGGAGAAAAATCACTTATTTACAAAATTTTATAACAAAAACTAAGAAAAAACATTTTTTTTTTCAAAATTTTCAGTGGTTTTTGGTTTGTTTAAGAAAAAATAAAAAACCCAGAGGTGATTAAATACCACCAAAATAAAGCTCTATCTGTCACAAAAAAATGATAAAAATTTCATATGGGTACAGTATTGTTTGACCGCGCAATTGTCATTCAAAGTGTGACAGCGCTGAGAGCTGGAAATTGGCCTGGGCAGGAATGGGGTATAAGTGCCCTGTAGGCTAGTGGTTAAAGGAGTGGAAGGGGTTATATGGGATGTCCTAACAATTTTGTTTGCCAGTGTCCTCACAAAGGGTGGCAGCAATATAATCCATGGTCAAGACTTAAAGGAGCCTGTGTCCTGTACTGCGCTGCAAAAAAAAAAAGGATTTTACAGGCAAGTCAAAAAAACCTTATATTGCATGTACAAATAAAAGACATCAAATGTAGCTTAGCAGATGCAATTAAAACGGTAAAGCAGCATTGTTTCAGATCAGTTTTTTCTGACCCTTTTTTTTAAGGGCCTACATTTATGTGTATAATTGCTTTGATACATTCAATGGAAATGTCTATTAAAATATTTTTGTATTTCTTTTTTTACCTCTCAGAATGAAAACTATTAACTGTTTATCAACCTTAGTCCACAGCAAGTTGTGAGCATTTTTACATTCTTGACAACGTTTTCCATGCAGTGTTAAATCTGGTCAGCATCTGTAATCCCCTTTCATTGGCTCTGAGCACGTGGACAGTTTCCCATACCTCTACCAAAACTGCTATGTAACTTGTGATATCTCTTGAAGTGGAAATGTGACAGTGCAGTCGGTTATAAAACCAGTGGCTGGCAATGTTTTGCTCGCATACCTACTTATGGAGGAATGTGTTACTGAAAACTTGCTTTTATTCACTTTGCCAACATCAACATGATATTCTGCATCTCCAGATACCAAATTTGGCTATTTCAATGGGGAGGATAAAAGTGCCCCTGAAAATTCTGTATTTAATTATCTTGGAAATTTATAAGAACATCACAACTGTAACACAGTCCACTACTCTTTACTACAGCAGTGTCTGGAGAGCATTTTAAATGAAACTATGTGCAAACCTTTTTTGGTATTGGGTTTGATGGGGTAGGTACATTTCAGGTTACTCTCAAAAGACTCTTAGGGGGGTTTACTAAAGCTGGAGCACTCAGAATCTGGTGTTGCTGTGCATGGTAGCCAATCAGCTTCTAACTTCAGCTTGTTCAATTAAGCTTTGGCAATAGAACCTGGAAGCTGATTGGTTTCTATGTAGAATATTTTACATTCTCCAGTTTTAGTAAATAACCCACTTAGTGCTCTGTTATAAACGATCTGACTACAGCTGCTATGATAAAAAGAGTGTGTGCTGCTGGGTTACTGGAGAATAAGTGACTGCTGCTGTGTTACAGGACAATCAGTGCTGCTGGGTTACTGGAAAGTGGTCAGAAGGAGTTACCAGCGAGAGCTACGGGGGACCCAGGGGATTGACACTCCTGGAAGTGTCGGTTTACCAGTGGATTCAGGGTATGAAAACTCATGAAGGGAGCGGTGACAAAGGTTCCTAATTATTTGCAATTGGTTCTCTTTAACCTAAGATTAGACAGCATTAATGTACACTTTATATAAGAATCTCATAAAAAATTATGGACTCTGTGACTTAATTTCACTTATTGTAAATCCCCCTACTTTTATTCCCCTGCTGTTATTGAAATGTTGGAATTTTCTCACTTTATTAACCTTTTATCAAAATATCTATACCATAAGTCATATGGTCATATAGAAATTATTCCTCCTTTTTCAGTACACACTAGTTCGGCTAGTTTGAAAATGTAAGATTGTCTTTTTTATGTTTATTAATATTCTTAAAGTGAACTTAGTCTTTAATTTCTTTAAAAAACTTAATAAATGCACATATTTTTGCTGGTAAAATAAGTGAATTTCCTTTTTTTCACATAAGCCTGCAAAGCATTGCTCCTGCGATCAGCAGACTGCGGGTGCAATGTCAGACATCTGAAAACTCTTCCTTCAGTTCCCTTACCATACGTATGAGCTTTCAGTTGCAGATCTAGGGGAAGTGTCCATGGTTTACAAGGGCACTGATTACCACCCTGGTGTTCCATTGAGAACTACAAGTCTGTTTGCTGTGGTGTGGTGGTGGTTTATTTACTCCCAGTTCTCTGTGAATGAATAATGCAGGAGTGCAGGCAGAGCCCCACACAGGTGCACCAATTTGAAAAATGACAGCTGTTGCAGGAGAGAAGAACCCTCGCAAGCTGTCACGGGTAACTGCACTAGTGGTGTGGAAAAAAGTAGGTTGCTTGGAATGGGTGTAACCTGTTGCTAAAGCTGAATTTGTCCTTTAAAGGATAAGTTCACCTTTTTACGAAAAATAAATGCACAATTTTTTTGCAGGTATAAAAATGTGCATTTATTTATTTTTTGTGTCTGGAGCCTCTAAATCATTGCACCAGCGATCAGCAGACCTGTCAATATATCTGCTTGCCTGTACGGGATGTACGGGCAAGCAGATATACTGAAAGGAAGAGTCAGTGCACAAAAAGGCTGTCGGGACTTGTAGTTCATTCATTCACAGAACACCGTGAAGAATTAAAAAAAAAAATGACAGCTATCAGGGAGGAGAAGATCTCCCGCTAGCTGTCACAGTTGTGATCAGGGGGGGCTGCGTTCCTGAATATGGGTGTAACATGTTACGAAAGGTGAACTTATCCTTTTAAACAAACCATATAATTTTGGCCTAAATATATCTTTACCTGATATTTCACCCTTTTTCCTTTAAATAAGTTACCTGGTTGAGCCTTTTCTAAAAGTGTCTTTATCCACTGCCTTCAGAAAGCCCTGAAGGCCACCAACACTGGTTACAATCTCTGGGCTTCAAAATGTTTCTCTCCTCTTGCATAAGTTAAGGCCTAGGTGTTTTTCAAACAACCTGTTTTGCTAAATTAAAATGCTATAGACCAGAGCAGCTTAAATCCTAAATGATAACCTCTAATAATGTTATCTAACCTTAAAAATCACACTTTGAGTCAATAGGACACCTGTAAGAATTACCCAATTGTACTTTTTAACTGAAATGTTATATTTCTTGTCTTGAAATACTGCTCTTTTGTAACCTAAAACCCAAAAGGCATACACTGATGAGATTATATACAAGGTCATTATTGCAGTAATGGCCAGACCAATTTTAGTAGTGGCAACATCTGTCCGTGACAGCCTTGCAAAGTGCTTGCTCTCAAAAGGAAAGATGTTTATTAATTTAGCTCTGTAAGAGGCATTTTACTGGGGGAATGTACAGTACATAAACAGATTGCAGATGGAAAGGTGCTAAATTCTTTGTTTAATGAAGTTCACCAAGTTTGTTTTTTTCTGTTTGTGTTTATAGATAAGTGGGAATAAATTCACAATGAAGGATCACCAACAAGTAAAAGTCCAGCAATTATTTGAGAACTCTGGAAACCTTAGGGTTGGTGCCAAAATTCCTGGAACTGACAGGGTGTTGCCAGTACTGACCAAAGAGAAGAGTTCAGACAGCTCAGGAAACTCAAAATCTAGTGATGGATCCGTCAAGTCTACAAAAGCCACCTATCTAACTCCTGACCAAGTACTGAAGCTAAATAAGCATCACTTGACATCTTATGAGCTGCAAGAGATCAGCAATTTTCATGAGATTCACTTTATGGGTCCAAATGCAAAAAAAAAACAAGGCATTGTTGGGGGTCCAAATAATGGAGGGTATGATGATGACCAAGGAGGTTATATATTAGTCCCTCATGATCATCTTGCTTACCGCTATGAAGTAATAAAAAATTATTGGAAAAGGTAGCTTTGGCCAGGTGGCAAAAGTTTATGACCACAAACTTCATCAACATTTTGCACTGAAGATTGTTCGTAATGAAAAGAGATTCCATCGCCAGGCAGCAGAAGAAATTCGCATCCTGGAACATCTGAAAAAGCAAGATAAAACTGGGAGCATGAATGTTATCCATATGCTGGAGAGTTTTACGTTCCGTAATCACATATGCATGACTTTTGAGTTGCTGAGCATAAATTTGTATGAACTAATAAAGAGGAACAAATTCCAAGGTTTCAGTCTGCAGCTAGTTCGTAAGTTTGCTCATTCAATCTTACAATGCTTGGAAGCACTACACAGGCATAACATTATCCACTGTGACCTTAAGCCAGAAAATATATTGCTAAAGCAGCAAGGGCGCAGTGGAATTAAGGTAATAGACTTTGGATCCAGTTGCTTTGAGCACCAGAGAGTCTACACATATATACAGTCTCGTTTCTATCGTGCACCTGAAGTCATCTTGGGAAGTCGTTATGGAATGCCAATTGACATGTGGAGCTTTGGCTGTATTTTAGTTGAGTTGTTGACTGGCTACCCTCTATTTCCAGGAGAAGATGAAGGAGATCAATTAGCATGCATGATGGAGCTCCTGGGAACTCCTCCTACAAAACTTTTAGATCAAGCAAAAAGATCAAAGAACTTTGTCAGTTCTAAGGGCTATCCTCGCTACTGCACAATCACTACACTACCTAATGGATCTGTTGTCCTAAATGGAAGCAGGTCACGAAGGGGCAAGATGCGTGGTGCTCCTGGTAGTAAGGACTGGGTGGCAGCTTTAAAGGGCTGTGAAGATGCTCTTTTCATTGACTTCCTAAAAGGTTGTTTGAATTGGGATCCATCTGCACGCATGACCCCAACTCAAGCACTAAGGCACCAGTGGATATGCAAGCGATTACCTAAGCCCCCAGTAACAGACAGTTTGACTGGAAATAAAGTTGCCAGTCATATCAGCTCTTTCCCAGGGATTAGTTCTAAGCTACCCCCTGTCGCAGGGGTGACCAACAAGTTACGGGCCAATTTGATGAGTAACTCAGATGGGAGCATACCACTTAGAACTGTCTTGCCCAAATTAGTCAGCTAGTCCTGGCAGGTTTTATTCACGGCAATGAGAATTTACAAAAAGTACTGTATTTGTTTAAATGTATGGTTTAAAAGAAGAAAACAAAAAGGAAATTATTGAAGTACGAGGCTATATGCAAACCAGTTGAAACAAACATGTTTAAGGGCTAAGCATTTCAAGAAACATGTGGTACAAACATACGTACATTCTGTACGTGTCATGCAGAAGCACACAAATCATACTTTAGGAGTAAACTTAGGCTTGGAGATCCTTCAAATCCTTTTATACTTGCTTTCTTGCACTTTACTTGTTGAAAAATATCAGGTTACTATTTCTGCAGTTGTGCCCATATTTTCCTGCTTGACAAGGTCATATTTCCACTTTGCCAGGGTGATAGGCCCAGGTTAAAATACTTTTCATAGTAAAAGTAGGCCAGATATTGAAGGTTGTCATTTTAGACTTTTTATAATTGCTTTCTTTCAGATTACTAAGTCTGCAATTGTGCCCATACTTTACTGCTGGACAAGGTTCTATATCCACATTGACAGGGTGATGGGCCCAGGTAAAAATACTTGTGATAGTAAAAATAGATCAGTTATTGAACAAAAGTTGTCATTTTAAACTTTATACTTTCTTACATTTATTGGAAAACATCAGGTTACTAATTCTGCAATTGTGCCCCGGGTCATATGTCCACATCGCCAGGGTGATTAGGCCACTTACTTTTGATAGTAAAAGTAGATCAGTTATTGAACGAAGGTCATTATTTTAGAGTTTATACTTGATTTCTTACACGTGGTGAAAACGACTGGTTTCTAATTCTGCGATTGTGCCCATGTTTCCCTGCTTGACAAAGTCATATGTGCACATTGCCAGGCTGTTGGGGCCAGGTAAAATACTTTTGATAGTAAAAGTAGATCAATTATTGAACAAAGGTCATCATTGTAGATTTTGTACTTGCTTTTTTTACACTTATTGAAAACATTTCAGGTTACTAATCTGCAGTTGTGCCCATATTTTCATGTTTGACAAGGTTGTATTTCTGCTTTGCCACAGTGATGGGCTGGGCCCAGGTAAAAATACTTTTTATAGTAAAATTAGATCCGTTATTGAAGAAAGGTTGTCATTTTACGTTTTATACATTCTTGCACTTGTTAAAAAAAACATCAGGTTACTAATTCTGTAATTGTGTCCATATTTTCTTGCTTGACAAAGTCATATGTCCACTTTTCCAGGATGATGGGGCCAGGTAAAATTACTTTTGATAGTAAATGTAAGTTAGTTAATGTAAGTTCATTTTCAAACAAAGCTTGTCATTTTAGACTTTTATTTGGTAATAATCAAGCCATTGATTTGTAATAATCAGCTGTTTTTCAAGGCTTAAACAACTCCTTGTACATCCCCGATTTTTAAAAAAATTGTGATGCTGTGGAAAATCTACATAAAAACTAGTAGTGCACTGAGATGAAAATTCTAGTGCCGAAAACAAAAATTCAAAATGCACTTGGCCGAAAACTGAAACCGAATTGTGCATTTTTAAAAAAATGAATATATATTTTTTGGAAAAAATTACACTGATAAAAAAAAAAACAATATATCCCCCAATTTTTTTGTAAAATATGAAAGAGGATGTTATGATGAGTAAATAGATACCCAACATGTCACTCTGTAAAATTGCGCACGCTCGTGGAATGGTACTTAAAAATGTTCCATGGGCGATGCTTTAAAAATTTCTATAGGTTAGCAGTGTAAACTTACAGAGGAGGTCTAGTGCTAGAATTATTGCTTTTGCTCCGACGTTCGTGGCGATAACTCACGTGTGTGGTTTGAACACCGTTTATATATATATATATATATATATATATATATATGTGGGCATGTCCTAAGTATGCGTTCACCACTACGTGCGAGCACTGGGGGATGGGGGCACTTTAAACTTTTTTTTTTTTCTTTATTTTGGGTTTTTTTTTGAACTGTCTCTTTAAAAAAATTTTTAATCACGTTTACTCCTATCACAAGGAATGCATGCATCTCTTGTGATAGAAATAATTAGTGACATGTCCTCTTTATGGAGAGATGTGGGGTCAATAAGACCCCACATCTCTCCTCTACAATGTAAAGCATGGGATCAAAAAGAATTGATCTAGTGCTTTTAAAAAAAAAAAAATGACCGGAACAGGAAGTGACTGCTCCTCCAAGGTCATAGAGATGAGTGGCGGCCAGCTTTACTTCACTAATCTCTATGCCCAGTGCCGGGATCGATGGTTTCTCAGTTAAGGCTGAGAACTACCGACGGGCAACAGCGGGCGGCGGTGAGGAATGGAGTTTTTTCGGCACCTGTATCGGTGCTTTTTTTCATTTTGGCCAACGGCCGAAAGTGGTGTTTTCGGCCACCGAAATTTTGGTGCATCACTAATAAAAACAAATGCAATGATTTGCAAATCTCATAAACTCATTGTATTTACAATAGAAAACATAATAAGGTCATTTTGAAATTGATGGCAACAGCATATCTCAGAAATGTTGGGACAGGGCTACAAAAAGCTGAAAAAGTAAATAGTACTAACAGGAAAGAGCTGGAAAAATATTTTGCAACTAGTTAGGTTAATTGGCAATAGGTCAATAACATGATTGGGTATAAAAAGAACATCTTAGAGAGTCAGAGTGTATCAGAAGTAAAGGTGGCCAGAGATTCACCAATCAGTCTAAAAATTCAGTCTAAAAATTGTCAAACAATTTTAAATCTATAATTGTCTAAGGTACTTGATATTATCACAAGGTTCAGAGAATTTGGAGAAATCTCTGTGTGCAAGGGACAAGGCCAGATGAAATATTGAATGTCCATGATCTTGGGGCCCTCAGACAGCACTGCATTAAACATGCATGATTCTGTGATGGACATCACTGCATGGGGCTCAGTAATACTTCCAAAAATAACTGTCTCTGAAAACAGTTTGCCGTGCCTTCCAAAAATGCAAGTTAAAACTCCATCATGCAAAGAGGAAGCCATATCTGAACATCCTCCAGAAACACATAGTTACATAGTTAGTCTGACTGAAAAAAGACAAAAGTCCATCCAGTTCATAAAAAAAAAAAAAAAAGTTACAATCCTATACCAACAGTTGATCCAGAGGAAGGCAGAAAAAAACAGCAAAGCATGATCCAATTTTCTCCTGCAGGGGAAACAAATCCTTCCTGATCCCCAGAGAGGCAATCTGATATTCCCTGGATCAACTTTACCTATAAATGTTACTAACCAGTTGTATTCTGTGTAACACCACCATCTTCTTTGAGCCAAAGCTTATTTAAAGCGATTCTAAAGGCTTTTATTTTTTTTTTTTAAATAACAAATGTGTCTATACTTATCTGCTGTGTGCAGTGGTTTTACACAGAGCAGCCTGGATCCTCCTCGGGTCCCCCCGCATGCAGTCCTGGCTCCTCCCTCCTGTCAGGCGCCCCCAAAGCAGCAGCTTGCTATGGGGGCACGCGCTGCTTCATGTATCAATTCACACATGGAGACCCCTCTCTCTTCTCATTGGCTCACTGTGATTGACAGCAGTGGAAGCCAATGGCTCCCGCTTCTGTCTCAGCCATGAGGAGAGGGAGTCTTGGGATAGCTGAGACTCCAGTGCACATTGCTGGATCAAGAGGGGGCTTAGGTGAATATCAGGGGGGCTGGGGGGATGCTGCACAGAGAAGGTTTATTACCTTCATGCATAGAATAGAAAACAAGCCTTTAGAACCACTTTAAAATGGTCTGTTGCAAAGTGGAGAACTGTTCTGTGGTCAAAGGAATCGAAATTTGACATTTTTTGTAGCAACCATGGGTACTGCGTCCTCTGGACTAAAGAGGAGAGTAACCTTCCGGCTTGTCATCAGAGCTCAGTTCAAAAGCCTGCATCTCTGATGGTATGGGGGCTCATTAGTGTGTATGGAATAGGCAGCTTGCACATCTGAAAAAACACCATAAATACTGAAAGATATATCTTGGTTTTAGAGCAATATATGCTCCATCCAGATGACGTCGTTTTCATGGAGGCCTTTCATATTTCAACATGACAATACTAAACCACATACTGCATCTATGACAACAGCATGTTTTTGTAGAAGAGTCCAAGTGCTTAACTGACCTGCCTGCAGTCCAGGCCTTTCACCAACTGAAAATATTTGGTGCATCTTGAAACGAAAAATATGACAAAGAAGACCCAGGATTGCAAATTCCAAATTATTGCATTCTATTTTTATGTAGATTTTACACAGCGTCACAACGTTTTTGGAATTGGGGTTGTGTGTGATAAACCCATTTTCTTATTTTGCTTTCTAAAAGATTCTTGCTTACTAAAACATCACAAAATGTGTGGATGCTGAAGATCTAGATTTTCTAGATATGCCTACATCTTTTAAACCATTTTATTATCCACTCCTAAAGGGATGTTTGATACTTCTTATGTATTCGGTGTTCCATTGCACTGTGATGGCAGTTTTACGTACTGAAGATAACTGTTGCCAGATGAGACTTGCTAGTGCCACCATCTGATTCATAGCTGGTCTTCATTCCCTACGTAATGTGTATTCTAGAGCAGATATATATTTGTTCTTGTTGATACCTTATATTACATGACTAACATGCCAAGAAGATTCCCAATAGTTGACTGTCATATCACTTTGGAATTTACACTGCAACATGCAATAATCCAGGTTAGATCGTAACAAGGGTAGTGTTTTTACGTGTTTCACTTTTCTTAGCTGAAGCATTTGGCTGGACATTGAAGGCTTAAAGCAGTAATAAACCCAAAAGCAAACCTTTTATTATGTTGCAGTTTACCATTTCTTAGATGCGATGGCTGCATGTATTCAGTTTACACAAATGAAACAAACCATTTAACTCTGGCAGGGGTATTTAAAATGATCAGCTTTTTGATTTTTTTTATTCATGTAAAACCTTTATTCCAAAAGAGAAAAAAGTGTTTGCTGTATCTGATTATAAAGTATTAGCTGGAGTTTAGCTTCAGTTAGTTAGT